TCTGCTCGTGGAACGCGCAGGCGCTTCTTTGCTCGCTCGCCACCAGTCGTGCTCGCAGCCGTAGCAAGCACAGGTGCCTCTCATCCCTCCTCCGCACTCGCGATGTCCTTTGTATCCAAGAGGGCCACGGTCACCAGGGAGATCTCGCGATACTCTGGAAAAGGATGTCAGAGACATGCGTGCGTTCGGCCCATTTTGTCCGACCGCCAACGCTGGGGGCATTATACTCTTCATCCGCGAGCCTTTATTCCAGCTCATCACCTCCCACGCGTTCGAGATGTTGCATGTAGGCAGAATCGCAGTCCTGACTCTCTCCAGTCCCCTGGGCAATCCACAGATCGCCAACCTCCATGTCGACCCCGACTGGACTGAAGGTTACACTAAGCAGATGATGTACTCCATCAGGTCCCACCTTTCCCCCTTCTTCTCCTGTCTCATCATGGGCGGTTTCAATTGCCTTGTATCTGGTGAAGGTCGTTTTTCGGTTCGCAGCATTTCTGAGCGAGTCGGTCAGGTTCGGCTCTCCAATGCATTCGACGTTATTTTCCCGCGGTTCTGCGAGGCTGAGCAGACCTCAGACACCCCCCTTCGCGCCACCCAAGAATGCGCGAAATGCGCCAGGCTCGATCGTATATTCGCGAATATTCATGCCGCTGTATTATTGGACTTCAACGTCTCCTCGGGCACCTCCCGGGGCATCGCGAATCTCGCGAAGCCCTCCGGCCACTCCCTTGTGCTCCTCTGCTTGCAGCCTCACCGGCCTTCAGGGAAGTCCCCCTCCGCGCCCGTCTGGATCGCCAAACGCCCGATGTTCCCCGTTTTCCCGGGCCAGGTGTTCGCTGTTAACCCCGACCCCAACGCGAGCATGAAAGAAATCAAGGCGCTTATGAGGAGTGCGAGACATCAAGTCGCTCAGTACATTGAAGCCAAAAGAGCTGCCTGCCTGGCTCCCAAGGCGCATGTCTGTCTGCAGCTTCTACGAGCACGCCGTCGATGCGAGATCGTCGCGCGCGTTGTGCATGCCGTGCTTTTCCCGAGCTTCGCAAGTTTTTCGACTGCGATGTGATGGCCCGGGCTCGCTCGTTGGATTGCCGCGAGTTCCTCTCCCAGATGCACCGTGACATGCGAGAGCAGGAGGAAAGGAGGAATCTTGAGGCCCCCGAGTTCACTGGAGATGCACGGGCCATTGCCCTCGCTAGGATTCGCCGCCTTTCGTCTGCCTGGGCTGCCACTCGGCCAATCCTGCGATTAGCTGGCGTTAAGTGCCCCGAGGGCGATGCCCACGAGGATCCGAAGTACTCCCAGCAGCTTTTGCGCGAGCGCTGGAGCAAAGCATTCGAGGGAGAACCCGATGCTGAGATCACGGACGCTCACGTATTCATTCAGCACACACAGGTCATTAATGGCACGCATGATCGATATATTACAAGCACGCACCGGCGCCATGATTGGGCCCTCTCTGAAGATCGCTTCATCGACAGCCTGAAGCACAAGAGAGATACCGCAGCTGGCCCTGACGGAGTCCTGCGCGCTGCCTGGGGGGCAGCCAGCCTATCTGCACAGCAGGGGCTTTACGCGCTGTACCTCCACTTCCTTTCCGACGAACCCTCGACGAGGGGTTCAAGTGTTGCGGGCGCGCGTTCCTTCCGAAAGGGCGCGATCAGCAGCGGCGGCCAGGAGGGGAGGTCCCCAAAGTTTGGCCCCGAAGGATATCCGTCTGCTCTCTCTCTCTCTCTCTCTCTCTCTCTCTCTCTCTCTCTCTCTCTCTCTCTCTCTCTCTCTCTCTCTCTCTATATATATATGTATCTCTTTCTCTTGTGGACGACGCAATCATTTGCTCCGTTCTCGCTCAGGTCGGTGGCCCCATCCAAGAAGGTTTCATTGAAGGTCGCAGTCTGATCGGCAACGTTGCGCTCCTCGACGGGCGCTCGCTTGGCCGGGCAGGAGCGCTCGGTCTGGTGAATGCTGGCGGTTGCCTGTTCGACTTCGCGCGCGCTTTCCCCGGCGGTATCCGCCAGTGGGCCCTCGAGGTTTTAGGCGAGATGGGGCCCCCGAGTAAGACCCTCCAGGCCATCAAAAAGCCCCGCCACAATGTTCTCATGCACGTTGGCCCTCCTGGACATGCTGCGTTTCGTTTCCTGCCCGCCCGCGGGGTGAAACAAGGCTGCCCTCTTCCAGGGCCCCTCTTCGCCCTCATCCTGGGCCCTGTGTTAAGACGCACCGAGCAGTCCCAGCCCCGCCTCCAGACCTGCCTGACAGCGCTTGCCGACGATATTGCAATGGCGGGCTCGTGCGTGCCAGTTAGCTTTCCAGTGTCGCTGCGGCTTCTGGCTCGCTCTGGTTATCTTACTGGTCTCGCCCTGAACATCAATAAATGTATCTTTCTCATGATTAGCCAGAACGACCCCGAGCATATCATTCAGATTTCCTAGGGGATCCACGTCAACGCCTCTAGGTTTAAGGTTCAGCATAATGCCGTGTATCTCGGAGTTGCTGTGGG